AAATGTTCAACGTCGTATGTTTTCAATCGGCACGTAGGAATTATCGTTTAGAACGAACAATGGAGCGCCCCCCGGGCGATTTTCAACAGCGCTTTTACCATCGACGGTCCCCGGGATCGTTCTCGGCCAATGACTCGCGATGAATAACGAAGGCTTTATAGTAAACGCTAAACGAGATTTCATTGAGCGCTCGCTGAACTTCGTAGACGCGGCTGTCCGGTCATGCGAATCGTAAAATCCTTTGACTTCGTCGCTTATCCGTGACTCTCGTTGCACGTATCGCGATAATTACAGGCCGGCCGGTGATCAATGATCGCTTAAAAATCCCGCCGGGTCGTTATTGTAAATCGCTGTTCTTTTGCTTTATTCGTTTTTTTGTTTTTTTTTCGTCACGTTCATTCTTTGTCCCCCTCCGCGTTCCGCCTTCGTAACACTCGTTCGACTCATTTGTTCCGGTTACATTTTGTTTTTTTCACCCTTCGCGCGGCGCTCCAATTTCACGCGTTCCCGTCGTTCCGAAAACGATGCGCACACTGCACCGCGGTGCAGCGCCCGGTGTCTGCTTCATCCGCGAACGAAGCGATTTTTATCAGGCGCGGTTCTTCTCCACGTTAACCGAGAAATTATTGTTGCAAGTGTACGAACACTTTCGCGTTTCCAAAGTCGCCTTTGCAAAGGTGCGCGCGGACGAGTTATCCGACGAAATAATAATTTATCTCCGCGTGACGTAGCGTGACGTGGCGCGATTTAATCGGCGCTTTCCGTTTCTTTTTATCGTCGGTCGATGACCGATCGGCCTGTGCCGCACTCTCGAAAACGAGAATTATTAAATAATATTTGTTTGTGTTTGCTCGTCGCGCGAACGATCGACTCGTTCTCGCCGCCGAAACACGAGAGAGCGACAATTTGCAATATCTCCGAGAGAAAGCTACCGGCGGAAAACATGTTTGTACAATTCTTATCGACGGGATGGTGAAATTTCACCGAGCGTTTTAACGACCGTTCGCATGATTTCTGGACGTGCACAATTGTTGCCGCGAAATAAACAAAAACGCGGGGGTTGTTAAACGAAAGTAGCGATCCATGAACAGAAAAGCTTTTTCAACTTACGAAATAGACTCTCCCTGTTCTGGAGAAAAGAAGGCGCAAGAATAACCGTTTCGTAGGATAAACTAAATATTTGAGAAGAAGTAAGTACAAAAATTCCAAGCGGTGCGATGCATTTTTAACCGCTTGGAAGTTCAAGCTGCACTTCCTTGAAAGAAAAAGTACATGTAGCTCGTGTTGTTCTGACTTATGAGTAGATTTGTGTGCTTGGCATGTTAACTAACCGCATTTATAGTACTAGGAAACTGACGTAATACTAGGAAATGAGCAGATAGTATGTCTTTGTAAGAGAACGATAATAGTAATAATAATAGTAATAAGAATAAAAGTAATGGGGACAGCTATATGATATATTTAATGGCAGTATAACTTTGATATTCACAATCTAATATCTTTATTAAACGTACCGAACGCTAAAAGCGACTTTGTACAATTTTTATTGCAACATATGCTTGCGTAGATAGTCAATCATTTTCCAGAAAAGCGTCTTCGTAATTTCACTAACTTCAAATTCGAAGATATTCATTCGAAAATTAAACGTGCTCTTCGGCAGAGCTAATTATTATCATAACGTAAAACAGTAATTTCCTGCATCGATTACAAGATAGATCGACCAAATATAATACCCTCTCCTCCCTTAACGATCTGAATAAGATGAATTTAGTCCGCCAACGTTGCGAGTTTCCTCAAATCTTCTCACCTCTCCGCCACAACCAAATAACACTGACTTCTGCTCTTTCGCACGCCCACGGTGAACACATTCTCGAAACGTGCCGAATCGCCCAATGAATTCCAGTTTAGCGATTTCTGAAGTAAAATGACTTTCCCGACGGTGGTGTCGTCCCTCTCTGATAATCCCGTCGGCGGCGCGGCGGGGAGGAATCCTTGTAAAACAGCGGGACGCCACCCACGCGAGCCCCGTTCGAAGACCAATCGGCGTCTTGCAATTTTACGCAAGTGCGTGTGTCCGGCTGCGTGCGCCCTGCGAAAGCTCGCAAGCTCCCTCCGAAGGGTGAATGGAGGCTCTAATTTAGTCAGTGGCACGGCCGCCCTACGATTCGCGCAGATCGGCGCGCTCCTCGGACTTTCCCCGGCTGCTTTCTCTGTCGCCCGGTGCGTCCGAATCCGGGGCTTTTCGTTCCTTCTTTATCGTGATCGATAGCAGCCGGCAATCGTGGCGCGACCTCGATATCTCGGACAACAATCCATTGTCTCTTCTATAAACGGAGGAATCGGTCGTGAATGGCGTCAGTGAATACTGTTCGTTTCGTATCGTGACGCTTCGAGTAACCTCGTCACCGTTCTCGACGAACGATTTGAACGCCGTTTCTGCGTCGACGGAAGCCGACGACGATCCCGTACAAGACGAGACGCGAGGACCGACGAAGTCGAACGTTTCTACCCGGAAAACGCGGTCAGCGTTTTTTTTACGAACTCGAAAGTCGCCCTCGGATCGCAACACCTGCCGGTGACCCGTCCTCTCTCACACACACGCACCCACGCACAGAGGAGCGAACAACACGGCGGCGCTTCCCGCATCGCGAGAATGCCCTTTGTTCGATCGTGACCGGACTCGAACAAACGTATTTACGAATTTAAAGAAACGGGAGGAAGCGCACGGTTGTGTTTCGGTTATGGCACGCCGGCTATTGATTTTTCCGGCGCTGCCACGACAATGATAGCCGGTTACCATTGTCGAGCGACAGGCATCAGTGAGGCAGCGTGTAGAGTGCAGCTTCGGAGAAGCGGGAGTTCATTGAACGACGGCTGCGAGAAACACAGTACAAGTATTGTATAACAGGAGGGAACGGCTGGCCGGCGATCAAGAACGCGGGCGACGCCGCGTCGAAACGTTGTACGTACAACGCGTCCGAAGACGATCGACGCGGCCGCGGAATAATCGACCGCGAAATCGAGAAGAAAACGATTCGGCGGAGCGTCGAGTCTCGAGATGCGCGATCTCGCTCGAGGAAGACGGTCGAAGGAGTCCGAGATGGTGAGACGCAGGAGTCGGGTAGGATTTCGATGATCGCGAGGAAGCGCGGCGACGCTCGTCTTGAAGCTGGAGCTTCCGGTCGCGAGACCGATTAGAGATAGACAAAATATAAACAGAAGAGGAGAATGATTCGACGGACCGAATATTGGATGTCGGGCGTGTGGCAGGGATGAATGGGCAACATCCGGCTATCTGAATCACCGGGATATTCTTGAGAAACGCGTAAGACGGCGCGCGTAAACGCCAAAAGCTTTTTCGTCCGGCCGCGAGCCATTGTCTGGCCAATGAGAGGTCGATAAAGGGTGAACTAATTGCTCAACACGGTCAAGATCGCGTGAGCACGGTGTTTGCGCGTCACGCGGCCGGCTGCTAGATAAGAGAAGGATTGTTTCGTCAGCGGCGAACGTATTAATCGCTTACCCGAGTCTCTCTTCCATGTGCCTGAGAAGCGGCGAGGATCGTCGCCGATCGTTCCGCAGCGTCTGGATGGAAAAACACGCGAGCCTGTACACTTGCGCAAACATGAGGCGGTGCAGCGACGATATTTTAGTGCACGGTAAATTCGTGCCCGATCAAACGTCGCACGCCGACGGTTACACCTTCGACTTCGGCTTCTTGTCGTTTTTATTTATATTGTTGCGCCGTTTCGTTTTGTTCCGCCGCGCACGGGAAAACTTGAATTTTCGTACCGCGTGAAACTACAGGATGATTCATTGCCGAGATGCGTCAGCGCGGCGTGAAAATGTTTCTTTTAATGTTAACCACCGTGACGGATATCCGTGACCCATAAACGTCCCTGCGATTAGACAATGCTGAAACCGCTCGCGCCTCTTTTCCTTCGTGGCTTTGGCGAATCGAGTGATCGTGATCGCTCTCGGCCGAGAATTACCCTTTCCCCGAGATCGCTGGCATTAATACGCATAGAAAGATCTTTGAGTTACGTTTTTGTTATTGTCAATGCTCGAAAGACGGACCATCTTCACCGTAAATATAACCGGATATCCTTTCAGAATCATTTATAATTTGAGCTGGCAATATTTTTTAATACAACGTATTTTCTTATCGTAGATCTTCTAGACATGTTAGATCACGGTAGATCTTCTAGAAACGACGAATTTCAATCACTGGTCACAAGTTGAACGATCAAGTAACGATATTCGTGATCTGGTCCCAAACAGCCTCGCCCTCCGAGTGTTAAAACTCCCTATTAACAGACTTCCGGCAGGTCGAGCGTAAACAATTCCGACTGGTCATTCCCCGAATGTTCCGAGCCGACGGTGCTAGCATAAAGATTAGCTCTATCACGGGCTAACTAACTAACTAATTTCTATTCTCGGAATGAGCGTCCTCGAATATGTACCGATCGACGCGATAGAGACAAAACGTAAACCGAAATTCTTTCACGCGCCGTTTAAGGTAAAAAGTTTCTCGGTAATCGCGCCCGTGAAAAATGGTACTTCCGTTCGAGAGAGCTTAAGCTTAAGCGGCGGCGGCGGTGGCGGCGGTTGCGACGGGACGCGAAGCGACGGCTGCGTGCGAGAACGCGTGTGCAAATATACGCGGCGGCGTCCGCGATAGGTACACACGCGTCCCGGCTAAATGACTCGAAACGGACATATGCATTCGTCGCCCGAAACGGAATAACCTTCCCGGGCTGGTCTCAATGGGCAAACGTAAAACTTGATTCCGAATGCGTTTTACTATCATTAGTTGCACGTGCTTCGCTTTCATTCACCTTGAATCCCTCCCGCCGAATTCTCGGTGCTGCTGGTAAACTGGCGCGGCGATTGGCCGTCGGTTGCGTGCCGCTCGCCGCTGGTTGGCCGTTATTTCCTCCCGTACCTAACCGGAGTGCAAGGCCGAGCCGTACCGAAGCCCAGGTCAGGGTACACGAACGTCGTCTTCGGCAGTTCGAACGTGAGGCTTGCGCAGTCGAGACCGGCTGGTTCTCTGCCCGACGGTGTGGTCTCGCAACATGGCTGTTTACACGTCCACGCAGCCGCTACTTTCAAACCGTGAGATCCGCTTCGCTAACGACAACACGGTCCTCCTCGTGGTCCTCGCGTACGTGCTACTCGCTAAAGGTATCATCGGCTCGTTCACTAAGGGCCTTCTCTATCGCGAACTCTTCGACCACCTCTATCGTCTACGCACGGGCACAGTCGCACGCGCCGTCGGAAAACAGGATGCGGTTCACGTGTGTGTGCGCCTGTCCGTGTGCCCGTTGTTTTCGTGTTTGTGTGCGTAAAACGGGAGCCGCGTGTGTATTGGGATACGTTGTACGAAGGCTCGTGGTGTTGGTCACTGGAACGACGCCGTGTGTTCCTCGTTCACTTGTCGTATGCACCTCGTATCCGTGCGTGTAACGTCTGTTCGTCGTGTCGCCCTTATCGCCGCGCCGCGTCGTTTCGTCGGAATTTTCAATTTTTGCTCCGTCGGGGAAATTAATGCGCGATGTTTGTTTCCTGTGCGACCGCACGTAACCCGTTCCCTCCGGCCCGCGAGGATCCGCTTCCGACGGATCCGCTTCCGACGGCTGGAACTGGTCACCCTTGCCTCGCCGACTATCGTTTCATCGATACTTAATTAATTGTGCTGACGAGTGTAGTTCGCCCATCGTCGACGAGACGATGTCTCTGCGTCGCCAAATTTCTATTACGTACGATGATTATTGGTTCTTTTCTTAGTTATGTTAAAATGTAGAAATGTTGTTTAGAGCACTGAGCGACTGCCCGCCACGTGTCACAGTGATATTATTCATAGTATGCTCGCCCGACAGATACAGTCGACAGCAGATAATGCTTTGTGCGCTCGTGCTTCTTAAAATATAAAAACACGCATGTGGGACAAAACAATTATAGTCCGAGGCTCGAACCAGCGTTCTTGTTTCGCTTGCCGCGCGAAGCGTTGTTCAATTTTTGGCGATCGTCGGGTGACGGCTGGAATTTTTTTGAAGATCGCGTGACATATTCAAAGATCAAGGTCATTGGAGATGGGTCCGAGAACGTTGTTTTGACCGTATTAGTACAGTAAGATTGTTTACCAACTTGTAACGGTAACTCTGTATTCTTTACATGCGTGCACATGTTGTCGGTGGTTGGAGAAAAAAGATTATTGTGCACCCGCTAGAAGTCATTGTTGTAAAGTAAATATTGTCGAAGAAATGATTGTCGGTAATCTAAACGCGTGGGCGAGTAAATATATTGTCTGCGAAATTCGGTGTCGATGGAATTGTGTCGGTGAAGTGATTGCCGATGAAGGGTGACCCGGTTGGAAACGCGACCGTCGGCATTGTTTGCTGGGATGTTTGTATGTTTTTTCAAAGGGGACAGAGGAATTATGTATGTTTCTCTGTGTCGCGGTAAAAACCGTGTAACGGTGTTGAAACTCGTTTAATTGGTCCCTCTCCCGCACGTGTAACGTTCCTCGAACGGTCTTTTTATGTTCTGTTACATTTGAAACATTGTTTCTGCGATCTTTTGGGGGTGGATGGTGTTCGAATGCGATGATTGTATGTTTGTAAGTGAATAACGTGTGCGTCGAGTCGTGTATTCGGGATTTTATGTTTCATTATTCGTTGTTATTGCATTGTTTTTGTAGCATCAGGTGGAATTGTGATGTGCTAACGATAAGCTTTTGGAGTTGTAATGTGCTGAAATCTCATATATAATCTGTATTTTATTTCTGTTGCAGGAGGTACCAGCACTCCACTGACTAATCACTATGTAAATGATGTAAATTATTATGACATTACAAGCAATGTTGACAATTCAGATCCTTTGGAAAAATTTTACTTAATTACTGAACAAAGGTGGCACACGGATACAGTGCTACCTATCCCTTTACTGCCATCTACCGAGGGAATGTCTGTTCGATCTCCTCACAGGTACATAAGAAATTTATATGTAATATAAAATTGCGTTTAGTTGAATGTCAGATTAAATATCTGTTTTTTTTTATATATAGGATTCCACAGTCCATAACAGGACTGGACGATGCTGGAATGGATTTGCAAGCAGCTCAACTTAGCACTCGAGCAGGACAGGAGGTTCGCTCCACCACAACTTTATCATGGCTAGACTGGCAGCTATCACTCTTTGTAGCACTCTGCGCCATCGCTGGCGCTATTCTCTTCACATTCTTGGTGAGATTTTATTCTAGAGAAATTTTGTATCTGCAGCTGTATACGACAAACTTGACTAAACATTTTTGTTATTCAGATTTTGTTATGGCTACGAAAACAAATGTCGCGTGAAAAGGATACAGAGGATGGTGATAGGAGAGGCTTGGTTGAGGAAGGTACCGTGGGTCACCCTGAGAAGCCTGCTAAATCTACAAAGGTATCGGTCGAAGGTCAATGGGTTCATCAACCTACAGTAAAGCCATCTGTGTCTGTTCAATCTGTCCGACCAGTTACTCAAACCAGTGGTTTGCCAGAGGTATATGTCTAAAATAAAATGAGAAAGAGAAAATGTTGAAACAATGATATCAGTATTCATAAACTCTGTCTTAAATAGGTAATGTCAGTGGCAACACCAGAACGTAGACCGGAACCTATACGTATAAAAGCTAAAGGACTACTCGAACGGCGCGGTTCAAGTGCAAGCTTGACTATAGAATTGGCACCTCCTCCTGAAAATCAACCGTACGTAGTAACACCTACCCGGGAATGTACCGCGGAAGAATTTTTGCTGAGCGCCGGGAATGTCTTGTCTAAAACACAGCTGAAAAAGGCTGTCAGCGACCCGGCATTGTTGCACAAAGAATTCTGGGAAGTTCCGTTAAATTTACCGAAGGAACTAGATATCTGCGGATACTGGGTGAAAAATAGATATTGTTCTATATTACCGAATCCACAATCCAGAGTGGTTCTACCAAGTACTTCCTCCGATGATCCTCTTTCTAGCTACATCAATGCCAACTACATTCGGGTACGTTTAAAATGGCATGGCTAATCGTGGTAAATCGAATTCTCGTATTATAGAGCAAAATTTCACTTACGATATGCCGATCTTAACAGGGATATGACGCAGAAGATTCGCGTTATATCGCAACACAGGGACCATTGCCTCATACAGTAGCCGACTTCTGGAAAATGATTTGGGCAGAGAAAGCTCCCGCAGTCGTTATGATGACGAAACTACACGAAGCCGCGAAGACGAAATGCGAGGCATATTTTCCACTGGACGTAAATAGTCGCATAACAGCCGGACCTTACACTATCATCGTTACCTCTATCGATGCAAGGGACGGCTACACAATCAGAGACTTGGAGCTTAGATTCGAAGGTGAAAGGAGACACGTGCAGCATTATTGGTGTGTGAAACTGAATTTCCTATAACCGTTCATTTGTCCGAAATTTCGGAATCAATGTCTCATTGATTGGTAGTAGGTAGAAGAAGTAAACACGACCGATTGTTCGCAGGTATGATTCATGGCCGGACCATGCCGTACCTGAAAATGCAGATACCTTGGTTAGCCTAGCTGCAGAAGTGAACTCCCTACCGGGACCTATAGTCGTTCACTGCAGTGCTGGAATTGGAAGGACTGGATGTTTCATAGCTATAGCAACCGGAATGACACAACTAACGCGGGACGGAAACGTGGACGTTTTAGGCATTTTATGTCAAATGAGGTAAAACAAATAGCATCTGAATTAAATTCGAGTTCTTTTTTTTGTAGTTCAAGTAACGCTGTCTAAGAAAATTTTAAGTCACTCTCGTGGACGAGGACGATGTTTCTTTTTATTTTCAAAAATTATCGAGATTTAATATCTAATTAAAGATGTCCCGTTTGTAGGTACGACAGAGGGGGCATGATTCAAACGGCGGAGCAGTACGAATTCGTACACCGTGCACTTTGTCTGTACGATCAAACGCTTGACGGCGGTAAATCATCGAGTGCCGGCGATTGATGCGACTAATAATATGACATTATGGGAATTGATCAGAATTCGTTAGGAGAAAATTTTCGTGGGAGTTATACGAAGATTCACAGAATGATTGTGAGGTATTGTCTGCAACGTTGATACTTCGTCCAGGCGTGACTATCTCTGCCACGAAAGATACACTACGACGAAGAGAATCACAGTCGTTTAAGACCTAAAGGATGTCTTGACTGTCTTCAACTTGTTTAAGGAAGGGAGCCTGATGTAAAGTGTTGAAAATTACCAAATTTTTTGGGGGATTTTTCTTTTAAAAAATCTACTGAACCAATATGTTTTAAATTATAAGTATATTTTATTACGCTATTGAAGTAACTGAGACGATGTTTTCGGTTAAAAAAAGGAGCTATAAATATTATTGCTGTAGTGGCTTTTATCCAACTTGTTGTGAAAAAAAAGAAAAAAAAAAGAAGAAAAGTTGTTCCGCGTGTAATGTAGCGCTTTGTATTTCGCAAACGACTTCCCATAATTTTCTCGATACGAACAACGTGTTCAGTTTTTACTACGTGAGAAATCATTGTTGTTTACGGTTCATTGCGGTAAACTGCATTGAACAAGAGCCGTGTACCACCTATCTACGTCTGCTGCTCGGTAGCAAAATGGGCCAAATCCGCCTTAATTTTTCGTATTTCATTGAACGCCACAAAAAGGTGTATCGATTTTTTCGACCTGCTACATCAAGCTCCCCTTTAACCCTTTCGCTACGACGGACGGCTATAGTCGCTCTCTATGATGCCATTTACATGTATACGACGGACGACTGTAGTCGCGCCGTGTATCTTTGCTGTGTCGACGCTCGGATGTTTATTGAAAGTTTGTTAAGGAGCTATACAATGTCCTCTTTTAAGGAATGTCCTCTCTCTTCCGAAAGCAACTTTTGTAGGAGTTAGACGTTAAACCGATCGCTGACGAATGTCAGGTGTTCGACGCGGCGATTCGTTCAGTTGGAGCGAGAGGGGTAGCGAGAGGGTTAAGGATGAGTTTCGTCTCACTTAATAAGCTGCCATTTCTATACTGCCATGACAAACCGTTGACAATTAATATCAGTCATTTGGCGGCTCTAGAAATGATGTGGGAACGGTGAAAAGAAACGGGAAGTTCTTCCTGGGCCTTGTCTTAGGGCCCGGGGTAGTTTTGGGAAATGTGTCGACGAATTGGCCGTTTGCTGGCGAGCGTGGGAGATAGAGCCGCCACAGTCACAAAGCTCAAGGGAGATGATTAAAAAATGAAATACGCTACTATTCTTAAACGGAATTAAAACTGTTCGACATATAAAACAAAAAAAAAAAGAATTATATACTATAATTTAACTTGCAAAAACGTGAGATCAGGGTTTAGTCTGGACCATTGGGTTCAGGTTTTTATGCATTCTCTGTGTATCAGAAGTTAGATTCGATAGTTGTTAACACTTGCAACTATAATAGTATTCTGAGGAAACTTGTACTTTCTGTAATTCGATGAACTTTTCCTTGGCTTCTTGGTGCAGCGATGTATCGCAAAGTTAACACAGCCATGCGAACGCTAATGCTGACGGCGAAATAAGTAAATTTGATTCGAATCGAAGAAATCCACGAACACAGAAACGGCATATTATTATATTAAAAGCTCTATAAAATTGGGACCCAGATCAATTTAAATATTTGTATCCTATTTGTAGTTCCTAGTTAATTTTACAGTATGCACAATAATTTCCATGACCTTTAATTAATTTATCAACAAAGACTGAACGCAGGTAGTACAATACGTTTATTATATAAGTTATAAATCTAACTAGACATATAATGTGCTTCTGTAACGCAAGATAAAATTCATGACGTATTGATGCAGTTCGAAAACCAAGTAGTTTCGTTTGAAGGAAAGGAAGAAAAAAAAGGACTTGTTGAAAATGCGTTCAAAACGACCCGAATCTCGTCGATAACGTAAAACTTTCATCGATGCGTGATATATCGAATCAAGAATAACGTCTCACTTAAATAACCTACTCTTCAAGTATTATGTACAAATTGAATTATTTATTCTATTCACTACTTCGAGTTAATGTATAAAAAAAAGAAGAAAAAAAACGAATCTGGTGAAATGTCATGAATTTGCATTTGAAAGAAATTGCTGCTTTCATTAAGGGATTAGCAATTGGTTCATTCTGTTGGAAGATTAGACCGTAGTTGACAATAAGTGTTATTTAAGCCTTTACGAGTGTTGTAAACGAGAATTATACTTTGTTAGCGTGAAAGGCGATAGCCGAACGGTTACATTTTCTCTGCAAAAAGAAAAAAAAGTTTCTTGTTTATGCAAGTGGATTCTATCAAGCTATAGACTTCAAGCATTGTAACAATACCAAAGTTGTTATTAGTATTTACTAACTATGGTGTAACGTGAACAGAGATGCATCGCAGACTCTGCAGGATCTACGACGACTAGATATTATTATTTTGGACATCGATTCGTTCCATGCAATTGACTTCTCAACAAATTCCAGTGTAATCCAGTGTAATTCTATTAAACTAAGCGTTTCGATAAACAAGCTACCGCGAATGGTCTCAGCATTTGTATTAAAAGTGGATGTGCCGTAGTCAAGTTGCTCGTTATTTCGAACATAATCAGTCCTATTCACTGGAACTATCAAGTTGTAACAACAATTTTCTTTTTTTTTTCCATTCAAATTGTGGACATGGGATGCCTCGAAGTTTTACCTTGAATGCAGTGTGAACGTGTGAATTTTGAGCGGAAGATTGTGATATGTATACAAATATATATTATATATACTTGTACATATATTGTACAGAGAGTAAAATATATTTAAGAGAGTATGTATTTGTGTAAGCAAATCAAGAGTAAATTATTTATGAATATGTAAAGCCTTAAGCTACTTTAATGTAAACGTATTAATAACGTAACAACAACAACAACAACAACAATAATAATAATAATAATAATAATAATTTAGAAGCCCTTTGGTGTTCAATTGTACTTATGTGACGTAATAAATGTTTATAGTACCCATGCAATATTTTTCTCGCTCTTCCGACTTAACAACATTATTCGCGTTGGTTATGATCGCGTCGAAACTCCAAAACGTTTCAGAAAACGATCATCTATAAAACAAATACTTTCTGCTGCGACCGATCTTGAACGTTCGCTCGTTCGAATTCGGAAATCTCGCGAATCGTAGTAATTATTCTTCGACTCACCCGTTCGCCCACTTCGACTTGCCGCCACGATTTGACTCAGTGCCGCCATCTTGAGTCCGCTCGTCCTCCTTCAAAATACNCCACGAACACAGAAACGGCATATTATTATATTAAAAGCTCTATAAAATTGGGACCCAGATCAATTTAAATATTTGTATCCTATTTGTAGTTCCTAGTTAATTTTACAGTATGCACAATAATTTCCATGACCTTTAATTAATTTATCAACAAAGACTGAACGCAGGTAGTACAATACGTTTATTATATAAGTTATAAATCTAACTAGACATATAATGTGCTTCTGTAACGCAAGATAAAATTCATGACGTATTGATGCAGTTCGAAAACCAAGTAGTTTCGTTTGAAGGAAAGGAAGAAAAAAAAGGACTTGTTGAAAATGCGTTCAAAACGACCCGAATCTCGTCGATAACGTAAAACTTTCATCGATGCGTGATATATCGAATCAAGAATAACGTCTCACTTAAATAACCTACTCTTCAAGTATTATGTACAAATTGAATTATTTATTCTATTCACTACTTCGAGTTAATGTATAAAAAAAAGAAGAAAAAAAACGAATCTGGTGAAATGTCATGAATTTGCATTTGAAAGAAATTGCTGCTTTCATTAAGGGATTAGCAATTGGTTCATTCTGTTGGAAGATTAGACCGTAGTTGACAATAAGTGTTATTTAAGCCTTTACGAGTGTTGTAAACGAGAATTATACTTTGTTAGCGTGAAAGGCGATAGCCGAACGGTTACATTTTCTCTGCAAAAAGAAAAAAAAGTTTCTTGTTTATGCAAGTGGATTCTATCAAGCTATAGACTTCAAGCATTGTAACAATACCAAAGTTGTTATTAGTATTTACTAACTATGGTGTAACGTGAACAGAGATGCATCGCAGACTCTGCAGGATCTACGACGACTAGATATTATTATTTTGGACATCGATTCGTTCCATGCAATTGACTTCTCAACAAATTCCAGTGTAATCCAGTGTAATTCTATTAAACTAAGCGTTTCGATAAACAAGCTACCGCGAATGGTCTCAGCATTTGTATTAAAAGTGGATGTGCCGTAGTCAAGTTGCTCGTTATTTCGAACATAATCAGTCCTATTCACTGGAACTATCAAGTTGTAACAACAATTTTCTTTTTTTTTTCCATTCAAATTGTGGACATGGGATGCCTCGAAGTTTTACCTTGAATGCAGTGTGAACGTGTGAATTTTGAGCGGAAGATTGTGATATGTATACAAATATATATTATATATACTTGTACATATATTGTACAGAGAGTAAAATATATTTAAGAGAGTATGTATTTGTGTAAGCAAATCAAGAGTAAATTATTTATGAATATGTAAAGCCTTAAGCTACTTTAATGTAAACGTATTAATAACGTAACAACAACAACAACAACAACAATAATAATAATAATAATAATAATAATTTAGAAGCCCTTTGGTGTTCAATTGTACTTATGTGACGTAATAAATGTTTATAGTACCCATGCAATATTTTTCTCGCTCTTCCGACTTAACAACATTATTCGCGTTGGTTATGATCGCGTCGAAACTCCAAAACGTTTCAGAAAACGATCATCTATAAAACAAATACTTTCTGCTGCGACCGATCTTGAACGTTCGCTCGTTCGAATTCGGAAATCTCGCGAATCGTAGTAATTATTCTTCGACTCACCCGTTCGCCCACTTCGACTTGCCGCCACGATTTGACTCAGTGCCGCCATCTTGAGTCCGCTCGTCCTCCTTCAAAATACCGTCGACGACTTTACGTGAAAGTTCCCGGAACTTGTCGAACGATTCGTCGGATCCGTTGACGGACGAACACACGCGGACAACAATAACGAGATCGATCCACGCGAATAACACAAAATTCGACGACATTTTCTCGCGTACACGTCGAATAACTCGCGAGCGACGCGCGTCGCGCGCGGCTTTCAAACTCGGCACGGCGGAGACTGGATCGCGCGTCACGTGACCCGACTCGTTCTCCGAGCGACATGTACGGGGCGCGTTTGCATGTATTACGTCCCGTGCGCGTGTGGTGTCGGCACGGAACTCAAGTTTAGTCCGCGCCTCGGGATTCTACACGGCTCCTGGTGTGGCGAGCCAGCGGCAGACAATACACGGAGAGATCGTTCGCGCGGAAAAAAGGGTAAAACACCGCGTAAAAGTCGTCGAGTTCCCCCCGCGGAGTGTGGATGTTTCTTTCGTTCACGTTTATACGTTCGCGCTATCTACCGCGATGGTTGTTCGGTAATCGTCGCGCTGTTCGCCGTGCCGATTCTCGCGGAGGACCCGTCCGTAGATCGAGAGTGTCGCTACGCTCGAAGGTATGGGAACATAGTGGCCACACGGAAGTAGAGCCGTGATCGCGTTACTCGTTCGTCGTGAATTTTCGTGGGAGCGACAGAAAAGCGAAGACAGAGGTACATAAATACGTACGTCGGCTGTAACTAAAGGTAGAAAGAAAGAAAAGGGAACTACAACAGTAATCGGATGAGAGCCGCGTGAAATGTTGTGTACTATGTGGGACGTCGCGTCGAGTGACATCGTAGCCTGGAGACAAAATGGGGCCCGCTGATCGGGCCCGGAAGAACTCAGGGGTCCGATTAACAACGGAGGTATGGATGTCATCGGGGACGGGGACGAGCAGACCCTCCAGGCGATTCTCGGTGAGTAGAGCCGCGATATCTGTTGCTCGGTCGAAAAGTAGAAGCGGAATCGTAACGTTACCCGACGGGACGATTGACAAGCGTGACAGCCGCAGAGTGTCGCGAGTCCGTCGCGGTTCGCCATGTACCTTCACGGCGCCGTAAACGCGTCCGTACGATCGTGTTGGTTCGGTTGCTCCCGTGCATTGACCTTAAACGCACCGGACACGGCTCATCGTGCGTTTTCGTGCTGCGGTCTTCTTCGCCGATGACACCAGACGGGACGAAACCGGCGTGTTATCCTGCTCCACTTTGACCTTCCCGTTTCGCAACGGTGCCTGTGCTCGTACACCGACGGAATATTCTCGACCGGTGATCGCCGCGTTCGTATATAGAAGCGATGATATATCAGCATAGCATAGTGGTCGAGAACACTGCTAACGGAACCCGGCAAAAAACCACCGGGTTCTCTGCGTTTTCGATTCTGCTCGATCCTCGATCGTTACGTGTCGCCGCCGCGACGCGCCGCGCCGCGCCGCGTTCTATGCATCGGCTCGGTGCACTCGTGACGCAGTGAATCAACGGATCAAGTAGTAATATCCTGGGAATGAGACGCGGCGTAAATTGTAGTACTCGAAATAATTAGCGGGACGTTTGTACAGGCGAATCGCGGGGCGGCGGGTGGGGGGCGGGGGGGAGTAAATCAAACATCAAGGATAAACTGTCACTTGAGCGCAGCAGTGCATACTCGGAACGGAACCTGCACGTAAATAATTTCATTGATGTATCGCCGTGTTCCACACGACCTGACTCCGTCTCGAATTTTATTTTCTACACCGTTTGCTAATTAGAAACAACTTCTACCTCTACGCTTTTCTGGTCGGACATTTCGGTCTGTAGATATTTATTGTACTGTCTCTTCTGTAGATATTTATGTCTACAATTACTTTGGAGCCCTAAGCAATATGGTTGTTCGGGTAGCAAACGGGGGTGAATCTGCCGCAAATCATTTTATCGCATTTGCCGCCATTTTCTGGTCGGACATTTCAGTCTGTAGATATTTATTGTATCGTCTCTTCTGTAGATATTTATGTCTACACAATTACTTTGGAGCCCTAAGCAATATGGTTGTTCGGGTAGCGAAGGGGGGTGAATCTGCCGCAAATCATTTTATCGCATTTGCCGTGTATCCGATGCAAGAGACATTTTTTTCGATTATCGAATTGTATCGTTAGTCCATCTGTTTAGGATTGTTCAGTCGAATAACGCAAAATGTTCCGATATTTTCTTGACAGCCCGAAAATGGTACTATGGTTTCGAATACGTCTTGGACGCGGCGGACGAGGCCCATTTTACCCGGCGAATTTCATTCAGAGATTTTTCTTGAATCGTGGCGAACGACTGCAGCGTTCTTAGCTCGCTCTGATTGATCTCCAAAGGAGAGTGCTTACGTGGATACATTTACCCTACTTTTGCCTTGACTGTGCTCCTCCCCTCCACGCTCGCGGAAAAACCGCCTTCGCATACCTGTTACACCTTTGGTTCAATGCATCGTGCTGCATCATTTCGTACCATTATTCGGTTGCAGCTATGCAGATCGCTGCTCTACCTTATACTTATACGGAGAACGTCGGGATAATGATCGGGTTTGTGGGAACGTTACGCTGATCTTCGGACTGAGATAAAATTAAGAGGACTATCGCGATATATATCGTCTTGTTAGCCATTGTTAATTCAGAGTTAGGATTGTTTAATCCTGGGAGAAGAGTGGACATTCAAAAATGCAGCGATGCAGAGTGGACGTTCGCGTGGTAAATTGATTCGAGTATCCGAAAAACAAAAATCTGTTTACCCTCGTTCGTTCACCGCGACATCGTTTTCTTTGTAGCCTTCGATTTTTCTTCATTTTGTACCGAAAAGATGCAGGAAAGATTGTTCAATTTAATCGGAGACCACCGAACACTCTGTCAAAAATAAAGAATAGTAAAACCGCAACATTTGCAAGCGGAAAATTCGAACGCAATTTTTGGAGCACACGATCAGCTGTTTGCGAGCGATGACGCGCAAATGCTGACACTGGCCCGGACCGTATAGATTAACTAATTTCGTGCAAACGACGGAACTTCTTTTCGATAAATTTTCGTGCAATTTATGTCGAATTATCGAACTCAATTAATAATTATCCGCGATCCAGTTTCGCAGAGTTGCAACGATGCACGGAATTCGCGCAAATGTTGACTCGCAAACGGTGCACACGTGTGCAAACTGGAGGAAAAATCGTTTCCATGTTAACACTAAACGTTCCGAGCGTTAAAAGCGACTGATTTCTCTCAACTTGTAAAAAACTTACCGAGAATTCTATTTATCTAGACCACGTGCAATTTTGACTGTCACCAATGCTCTAATAAATAAACCATAATTATTCGATAATCCTGAGACAGAAAATTGAAAACCGGCGATTCGTCACGGCGATGATGCGTTTAGCGTCAACGACGCTCCGAACATTCGGCGCTCCGATCCGCATTTGCATCTTTTTCCGAATACATCGCGGCCGAAGCTGGCCTTCCGCGCCGAGTGCATTCACCTGCAACGAGTGCACCGAGGCATTCTTCATCTGGGTCGGAGGTTGCAGTGCAGTGCCGGGTTCTCTCTGTTTCACTTGATCCTCCGGCGTGTTTATCCGATTACTGCGAGTCGTTTCATCGCTGACAAATACGATTAAACGCGTCGGTACGCGCTTAATAGTTTCTATGTTTCGCTGTGATCTTTATTACGAGACTCGCTGGTAATTGGAGAACCTAGATTTTTACAGCATGATTCACGATTAGCGCAGATGTTTTATGCGCTTCTGTCTCGCGCGAACGCTGGGAAACCAGAGAAAAAAAAGATCGGCCTCTGTTCAACGATCTTCGCGAACTTACGGCGAAGAGGCACACTTTGTTCCGTAAATCTATCCCCCTCCCCCCACCCCAGTCCAATTAGATCGTATCGTTATCTGAATTTTAGCGAACCTTATTAAATTCCGTTCATTATGAATGCACGTGGGGAGATCGTTCGACATGTTAACGCCGTTCCGTGCGAACGTGTTTTTTCATCGACGTGTTTTTTCGGTCGAATTTTCTACTTTCGTTTCGACGGACGTCCATCCAACGAAGATGTTATACATTTTTATAGGAGTTTTATGGATCACTTAAAAAACCCGCATCATCGTAAAAATAAAATGGTACTTGTTAAGCTCCATTCGTTTCTTTGATTTTTACGGCGACGAATAAATGAATTTATGTGCAGAGATGGAAGGCACGGATCAGAATTTATATCCTTTATTCGATTCGACGAAAGTTAACGAGTTATTGATTTAACAATATTCACGGCCGTGAAATGCAACGGCCGGCGAATTCAAGCACGGCGAACGATTCGGAAATATGCTGCATAAATTGCGGTCGCAATTAAAGACAATTAAGTACGTACGACTACTTCAAAATCTTTACGGTTTTGGATTTCACCCGTTCGTACTTGCCGTAAACGCGACGAGGCCCGCGTCATACGATTAAAAAACATTCGAATCGAAACGATAATCGTTATGCAACGACGTTGTCTTTTTCTTTCGTCGCGTCGTTTAATAACGGTCACGGTCTCCGATAGGGAGATCGAAAAAATTGCAGAAACGATGGACATTTGTGAACCCGAAAACCGTAAAAACGCCCACGAAAGCCGCGAACGAGGATAACAAACCTCTGTTTAGTATTTACTTCTGAGAACGGCCTATGAAAGTCTAAATTTACATAAGAATGTGCGCAGCCAAGTCATGACCGATTAAAATACTAGTCGCGATTTCTGGAGCGCGCGCGGGCGCGCACTCGCGCGCGTTGATCCGCGCCGCGCGCAAATCCAACGGGCAACCTGTCCCCGTTTAATAATATCCGACCGATGCAATTAGCCAAAGTTTTGAAAGGAAATTACGGCTTCTCTCTCGCCGGAATGATTATCATCCCGGAGGCGAGCAGAGTTTCTCGGGGCACAGATAGTATTACCGCAATTCGTCGGTCTTTGCCAACAATTCCAGTGTTCTCTCTTCGCTAGCGGGCCGACAGTGAAAGTCGCGGCGGTGAACGTGCTTTTCCGTTTATTTGAAATTAACGGCTCGATACTCCGGCATAACCTACTGGCTGTGTGCGCGCCGCGAACAGTTCCATTCACTTTTGATCATCGTCCGTCATTAACGTCTCATTCGGCTCGCGAGTCCGTGTTTTATTCGCGAAACGTCGTCGCTGGTCCTCGCCGATCCGCGTTGCCACCGATCGCGACCCGAACTGGCCGAAAGACGGGAACAATGCTCGCAACGACTGCTTACTTTGACCCGAATCCATGATTTTTTACTTTCAAAGAACGTTGTACCGATTGCGCTGCAAGTATGTCATATTTGTATGCTTCGTTTGTTTAATTATGCATCGATTCACTGTGAAATATTCGATAATATCATTCTCAGTTTTTATTGTTACCGGACTGCGGATCTTTTGCTATTGAAAATGAGGGGATGAAAAGTGCAGAAGGGTGAAAACGTTCGAAGAATTCGAAGACGTTTACGTATCGTTTCCAAGCGGCTACAATTATTAATATAAGACATTTCAGTAGCTCCTGCATGGTACAATTAATCCAGACGATTTTTATTTTGCACAATAATCCGTGAACGACCATGACAAATGACGAAAAGTCATTGTCAAAAGTCCCGATACGTTCGGTCCGTTTAGGGGTGCTTGATTAACCCTTCGGTGGTGGAATTATTTGTTCAAACTGATTATTGTTTATCCACCGATCGCGGCGATTGCAATGGATGCCACATTGAAATTAATTCACGTCTGAGTGACCAACTAGGGCATGCACGGTCTATTGGTAACGAGAGGGTTAAGGCGCATGAAAAGAAACGTGCGAACAGATTCATTTTAATTATCGTTCGGACGCTGTTCTCTATTCGGTTTAGTTTAAATTCCACTTCGAGTAATTTATTCGAACAAAGAACTGTT